ATTTTTATTTTTCTTTTTCCATATTTTTTTCTTTTTCACATCTTTATTTGTCAATAATTTTCTATTTTTAGTCCGTTTTTCAGACTCTTTGTTGAATTTTCATAAGCCGTTAGATTTTATTTTTACCTTAAAAATACAAGTGTTGCTATTAGTAAACCCAGGCGGATTTAGAAAAAAAAAGAATTCCAGCAAAAATCTCTGAAATAAGCTAACGCGTGCTAAACACTTAAATATTTCTACTCCAATCACCTTCAAAGTTAATAATGCATAACAATTTGGTATTAGCAGGAAATCAAAAGTATTTTAATTAATTGTGCACATCCTAACCCACCGCTCCCTCGATTAAAAAAAATGCCATAAATATTTCGAAATGCCACAAATTTCGTGGCTGAAAACATGTAATTACCAGTGGCAAGCTTTGGGGCGTCAGCTATGATCGATAATACACAAATGATTTGTGGTTTCAACACTCGCAGGCAGGCATAACAATTTTATGGCATAATGTGCGACAGAGGGTGTATTTGTGTTTGTGTGTGTGTGTGTGTGTGTGTTTGCGCTCCGCTCGTAGTTTTGGTAAATACAATAATGCAAATTATACACACGTGTAGCAATTTCATTGCATTTATATTCACGGATGTATGTATGTATGTATGGTTGTTAGCTGAAGCAACATAATTATCACCCTGAAAATACACGGCATAACTTAAAAGCCGCTCATGGGAAATTAGCTTGCATTTGCAGTGAAGCGATGAAGTGAATTTAACTGTAATGTAGGTATGTATGTTGTAATGCAAAATGCATCAACAGGTTTTGTAGCTTTCATTGTGGGTTATGGGAATTTTATGTGATTTATTATGTGATTTAAATGTAATTAGGACTATAAATACTTGCATACATATAAGCATTTATATCTATATACATACATACATATATAAAATAAAACTAAATATATATTAAAATGTATATCTCATATGCATTACAACTTTGATTTTCCCCTGCGATTCGCATCAAACCAATACTTTTGTGGTATTTCCAATTTTTTCGTAGCCTACTTTTATGCGCAGTCGTTTAGAAAATTGCATTTTACGAATTTTCGTGCCACAAATATTTGCTTAATGAAAAAGTTGTTTTCTCCAACATTTGAATGCCCTGGTGGCGTTTTTAGTTTGATGTATTAGTCCAACTTTTTTACAAAGCAAAAAAAAATAAACTTTTGCTTTTAACTTGTTAAACGCCTAAAAGTATGTTATATATAGTACCACGGAAAAAATACTGAAAATTAATGGCAGCAGCTTACTGTGCTTTTTATAAAAAAAAAAAATAAAAAAGTTTTCTATGTTAAATGGATTTTTTGTTTTTTTGTTTGTTTGCTCGTTTTTTTTCCCCCTCAAGTTCGACAACCTGTTACGTAAATAAATACAGCTACGTTACATGATATTCTTATGTATTGCGCAGCCACATGTGCGAATATATTCCCTGCTGTTTACTGAGAAAACTTTTTGGCTTATTTTATTTTAACACACACACGCGCGCACTTACACAAGTAGAAACTTTTTGGAATAACTGAAACAAAAATCGGCGGTTAATGAAAAAATACTTTTTTTTTTTAGAATTCCACGTGCTCGTGCGCACGTGTCCAACACAATTTTTTTTTTTTTTTTTTTTTTTTTGAGTATATTTATTATAAAAAAAAAAGTTCAGAAGGGAGTTTTTCTGAGACATGTGCCTGACTAGTGGAAAATTTCATGGCCGCGAATTAAATATTATACTATAAAAACAAGGGTCTGCTATTATATTTTAGAAGCGCTATAGAGCAAGACGAAAAAGCAGCCAAAGTGGCCGAAAAAATTTATTTATTTTATGGGTCCGATACTATAAACGAAAGTGTAGCACAAAAGTGGTTTGCTAGGTTCCGTTCCGGTAATTTCGATGTCAAAGATGCACCAGATTTTGCTGTGTGTTTGGTGGGATTGGCAAGGAATCATCTCCTACGCGCTACTCTCCTATAGCCAAACGCTCCATTCGGCCCTCTGCTGTCAAAAAATGGACCGCTTGAAGGCAGCACTCATCCAGAAGAAGCCATCTTTGATCAACAGAGGCCGAATTGTGTTCCAACAGGACAAAGCCAGGCCACACACGTCTCTGCTGACGCGCCAGAAGCTGCCGGAGCTCGGATGGAAAGTCTTAATGCACCCACCTTATAGTCCGGTCCTGGCACCAAGTGATTACCATCTTTGCCTGTCCATGGCGAACGCGCTTAATGGTGAGAAGTTGGCCTCAACAGAGACCTGTAAAAATTAGCTCTCTGAGTTTTTTGCCAATAGGGACGCAGCCTTCTACGAGTGGGGTATAATTAAGTTGGCATCTCATTGCAACAAGTTTTCGAACAAAACGGACAAATGTACACAAAGTTAACATATTTTGAAAAATCAAAAAAAAAACCCATACGAACTTATTACTTGACCTAATATTTCCTTCAATTCATTGGTTGCCTCGTTGGTTGTGTGGAAAGCACGTGTGTCTTGATAGATTCAAGGCTCGTCCACATGCACGTTCTGTAACTCAGGCGCAAAGAAGTGTGTAAGCATGGCTCTTTATGTCATTCCCCATTGACTGTAACTTTATGGCTGGTTTCCTTTCAGTGACTTTTTGGAGATTTTGGGGTGTCTAACCAATGGCTTGTGGATTATGATCACTCTAAGTGCGGAAATTTTATTTATTAACTCACAAATTGAACAAAAGCTCAGCTGAACAAAATATTTTTGTGAAAAATGAAGTTTGGTTTTTACCAAACGTGCGACGCACTGGATGATCGTTCGGCTTCAATTCTTGCACGAGTTGGATTTTTTCAGTCTGCAAATTAAGATCCTTTCACAAATTCTTTCATAAAGTGGAAAGTTAGTTATTTCAATTGCTGGATCACGGTATCCTGATCCAGGGCACTTGAGCCTACTGGCCCATTATGATACTTGTTCTGGTCCTGTGAAGAAGATTCCTTTCACCTTTCTAATGCTGTAGCCGCAAAAATGTTTTCCAAAGCAGTTGTTGGTGCATCTTGTGGGAGTGATAGTCCGTGGCCGGATAGAAATACGGGTCGTTCCGATATTAAGATCCGAGTGTCGCGGGAACTTGTGGATTTTAGTTGCCTGCTATGATTGGTGTGTCTTACCACGTCAAAATTCTTGATGATTCCTATCGGTACAAGCTCTGCAAGGCAACCGAAGAAGAAATTTCTAGGGAAAACGATAACGCATCGCACCGAGAGCTCAAAAATGGCAGAGGTAATGCACAAACGATTCCTTCTAATTTACATATGTCCCCGCAGCTGAAGTTTCGCAAAAGACAGTATGCCGCATTCGACACGGTTCCACTCTGCCATCTGTTGTTGACCTTTCTGTTGAAGGCCAGACTTTACAGATACTTTGCCGAGGAAAGAGTTAATCGTGGTTATAGCTATACCCAGCTCCCTGGGTTGTCCCTGTCAAAAGTTTATTTTAAATGTATCTGCATTTTACGGTCACCTTTGAGGCATTGGGATTGTTTTGAAGAGACTTAGTTGTTGCCTGGCTTTCAGAAAATTGGCCAAATTTTGACTGTCTCACCGCTTTTTCCAACAAATTTGGAACCAATCATGAAGAGATTAACTGCTTCTTTTCATTAATATCTGTTTCACCTAAGGCCCTCCCTGTTGGGATTATGACGGAAGGGAAGCCACTCGATGCAATGAGCCATAGATCTGAGTATGAAATCGAGACTCTCCAGAACAACGAATGCTCGCCCATGCTCGAATAGATTAGAAATACATACTCCCTAAGCTTTACAGCTACTTTAGCAGCAATAACTATAACTGCAGTTTCCTCAGATACCTTACCATGCATAGCTTTCAGCGCCAGCGTTAGATTAGTGCATAATGCACCACTGATGCTGGGCGAGAGCCATGAGAGCTTGAGCGATTCTCAGCTGTTAAGCTAAATTAATTTTTCCAGCAACAAAAGCGCCGGAATATTGTATATGTAGCTCAAATAAACAACTACTACGATCGCTCAGTAGAACAGTGAAAGCCAACGATGTCTCTGTCATCTAATTCCTCACTGCTTTTGGTGAAACTTCGCATCTCCTCAGTAAGATTTTTCGAAATGCTTGATTTTTGGCTAGAAGTCCCCTAGAGACTCATGACATGCCTCTAAGCTTCCACAGAAGGTTTCCCAAGAACTGTTTTTTACTTTCTCTAATATAAGACTGATAAATTCCCGGACCCACTTTTTTGAAATCTCACAGTTTACAGGCTTTATTAAAGAGACGCCTGCTTTATACTCTTAATTATAAAAGCTTTGTCGTACATCTGATGAGGTTACCTCTGCTCTACGGAGTTCTCAAACGGCAAGAGCTAACACAGACTTTCCCATTGGCTAAGCTGAGCTGAAAATTTCAAAAAATACATTCAGTGGTTTGGTAGAGATAACTAAGCTCTTTTAAGGGGATCATCTGAGAGAGGTAAGCGAAGTTTCATTCAAAACAACTGCCATTCCGTAAACCTCAAAGCCTGAAAAATAACGAACTATTTCTAAAATGGCCCATACTCGTTTCTGGACTATTCAGAAAGCATCGAAAACTCTAAATGGAAACAAAAATACTCGAAATTATGCACAAAGGCAAATAAAAAATTGTATCGCGTTGGTTACAAAGGGTCCATACTTACGCCTTAGTGCTACCAACTGTTCTCGAAAGCTTTAGAACTGGTCCCGAAGGTATACGCAGCTATCACTTTTCCTTCCTAAAGACAAAAAATGGAAAGCATACAGCAATATCAAAAGCATTCAGTTCGCAGATTTTCGATTCATCCAAGATCCAAGTGGCCTTAGGCCACCGACTTTTTGTGAAAAATCTAATGAGGTTTCAATAAAAAAAAATAAAAATCATACTCATTCGCCATGAAAAAATTGTTTTTTTTCTATTTAAACAACCTTAATCGCAACTCCTCTCATTCTCTCTCCCTCTAGGACCACTCACAAGGATGAATTTGGCACACAAAAAGTTTACAAAAAGACTTCACCAAATTGTGTGCTCACTCTCTACTTGCCCTCACGTGAGATCACACTCTCCGGCAATAATCCAGCCATATTGCGTGGCATAATCTTTGTGGATCCAAAGGCTATACAGGGATATAGAGTTTATGCTCAATTGACGTTAACATTTCGGTGAGTATTCATCAGAGAGACAATGAAAGGAAAATATTATTTTATATAGCCTGAGAAATATTTCTAGAACAAATATGTCATTTTACTGTTTTTAGATACATTTTTAGATTTAAGCACTCTTTTTTATTTTACTCCCGCTTCATCGTATACTCAACCTAAACTTTATTTCTATGGCCTTCATTCACATCGCTCAAACATCTCCTTACTTATAAAGAAAGCCCCAAAAATATTCAATCTATCATTTTTCTCCTTTCACTTGTTGACTCCTTCCAGCTTTGGTCGCGAGGATGAAGAGGTTATGGGCTTACGTTTCTGTAATGAGGCCATCATGTCGCTACATCAAGTGTGGCCGCGTAAGGAGGAGCCAACGCGTGAGTCACTCAGTCCATTGCAGGTGAGTAGAAGGGAGATAAAGAAGAGAAAAAACACTCACAACTCCTACTCAGATACAGTTCAAGAATATGCTTAAGCAGCCGCCCACTGCCACTCGCAACGGCTTGCTAAATGATTTCGAATTATTTCTTTTTCAAAAAATTATTCTTGTTTTCAATTTCTTATTCTTCTTTATAAAATCTTTGCATAAATTAATATTAAATTTGTATTTAATTTGCATTGAGCTCGATTTAATACGCCCAGACGCGCTTGTTTACTCTGAAAAGGCTGGCAGTGTGGAGATTTGTTTTTGTTTGTGATTTCTTTCGTTGTTGTTATTGAAAATGTTTTTGCAAATAATTGAAGTATTTTTATTTTGTGGTATAATATAATAGTTTATGTTGTTGTTGCGCTGCTTGTGTAGGCATTAACTATGGTCGTTTGCTGGATTTGATCGAACGTGACATAAAATGTTTATTTTAATTCCACGGAATTTGTATGTTATTTAAGCCCTGAATTGAGATGATTCGAAAGGCTTAGAAGACAGCGGAATCGACCCACATACACATTTGGATCCCCATCTTAAATTAATTTACAAATTTAAAGCTGAGCTCTTTCCTTTGTGGAGAGAGGCTTAGAAAACTCGTAACTTTTTAGTTCAAATGGAGCGAGTCAGCAAGTCAGCGGGTATACCAGCTTCTGAGATTTGTCGATGCTGCCGATATGCCGTTATTCAAAAATTCTGTGCATCACGTTTATGCCGTCAATATAGATTCTAATAGTTACATTCTCTACCTCTCTTTACCTCTTGTCCATATTTTCTATTCACCTCTAGTTGGGTTCCTCATCTAAAGGTAAACATTGAAGTCCGACTTTGGGAAGATATAGTCTGCTTTTCGGAAAGTCGATATGTCTACTTAAGCTGCAGCCTACGAAATCTAGTTCTTGCTAAGTATTCTCCCGCAGGTTAAGTGTATAACTTTCTTCTCTGCTCTTTCTAAGCACATGTTGTTTTCTTCATAAGCTCTTTATAAGTGCGGCTACTTAGGAGTAGGAAAATCTAGTCGCTGTCATCGAGTTGATCTATTGGAATTTCCAGAAATTAACCATAATGATGGGTGCGAAGAGAGTGGTGCTAGATGAGTCCGTTTCAGTGGAAATTTAGTTGTGGGCATACTATTGTTTGAGAGTTTAATCCGTGCTAAACATAGGCTCAACTCACTAGGTTGGTAGAGGTTATCCATCGAATTTGACTCCAGTCCACCGGAGCAGAGCTCCTTGTCTGCGGTCGGGTTCCGATGAGTTCATTCACAGTCACAATTGAATGACTTTCAAAACTTGCCGTCGCATCCAATTCTTCTGTAACATATTGCTGAATATAGTCCCTATAATATATAGAGCATCGGGTTTAAGGAAGCTGAGATTATGCTCCTCGCATGCGCTTGATGATGGTCGAGTTCCAATGATACCATTGATAGTAAGAGATTTAAGAAAGATGACCATTAATTTTATTAGATTTTTCTTTCGTCCAGGGATTTTACAACATGCTGATGAATACAGTGCTTATAGCCTATTACTTTCTTCACATAGTACCTGCGAAGAAACTCACTGTAGTACCGATTTTGTGAATACCACTCAACTTTTTAACTCAGCGAAAATTGGCAACGTTGCTTTAACGAAAAATTAACAGAAAGGAATAACAGAGATATGAAAATGAGATCAAAAGCATTCCGAAAAATTAAAATATTTATTGAACTCATTTATGGCACATTAGAGCCTAACGGAAAAGTGGCAACGTTGCTTAAACAAAAAAACAAGGAAATAAGTCACAAAATTATGAGAATAAAATAGCAAATGTTTAGTGAAACAGTTTTGAGCTCAATAAAAGGCACCGTATAAATTAAGAGAAAACTGACAATGTCGCTCGGAAAAAAACGAAGGGAAACTATTATTTGACTAAAAAATTTCTAAACATATTTTTTTTTATTAATCCCTGAATACGGCAAAAACTTTGCAAATTCTTCACTACCAACATTCAACTCTTTAATTTCCCTCTCGAATTTCAATGATATATCTTCATCAGAGTTTGGGCATCATGATGAATTGATGTATGAGGTTAAAGCAGGCAATGACAAGCAGAGGTATTTCCTTGGTTTGTGATTGCGTATATGAGATTTTGCTCCATTTGTGTATGTGTTTACTGCATATAATTATGAAGGATTTAAATGATTGAAACGAAGTAGCATTGTTGGATTCTATACTTGAGCATACACCAAAATACTGAGGCAGAAGTCTGAGAAGGGCATGTGAGAGCTTTTAATTGGTAGGTAACTAATTGCCAATGCGAATATGGCCTTAAGTGATGATAATGTTCCTTACGCATAGCAAATGTATCAATCATATGTTAATTCGAGGAAAATTGACAAAGTTGCAAAATAAATTACTTGTGAACATATCTGATTTTATTTAAAATAAGCAACGGGTTTAGAGAAAATTGGTAACCTTGTAATAATGACAAATATTTTATTATTTTTAAACATTCCAGACCTTTTGCAAATTTTAAGAAAATTGGCAACGTTGCTTATACAAAAAATATATTTAAATAGGCTTACCGGTATGAGAAAACAAATTTTAACCGCGCAGCCAACTTTTTTCTAACTCGCTTAAAGCAGTCAAAGGTTAGCAGGAAAACTGGCAACATAGCTTAAATAACGAAAAGAAAGCGATAATGTGAAAACCACAGAAAGATATTAAAAATGATGTAATAATAAATAACATGTTGAAATAATTTTAAGCATGTTTAAAACAAAAATCTTTATAAGGGAAAATTGGCAACATTGCATTATTGCCAAATAAAGTTAAAAAGGCATGACATATGTATATGAAAAACAATTGAGTAATGCTGATTTTAGTATATTTTAACTTTTAAGAAAATTATTCAGAGCCTTTAACGATTTGAAAGAAAACTGGCAACATTGCAAGTAAAAAAAACACGTAAAAAATTTGCTTTTTAATAAATTCGATATCAGTTAAGGTGAGTTTTCATTTAAGAAAAAATAAAAAATATGATACAAAAAGTTTTGTTACATTAAAAAAGTTATCAGCGTCACAATATAATAATCTTTTTTATTTTTTTTTTTTTTTTAAAGAAATTAAGGCATTTAACGATATTTGAAAATTTGTCAGTTTTGTTTTAATAAAAACGAACTATAAAGTATTTATGAGAAAAAATTCTTCGATGCAGCAACTCAAGCATACTTAATTTTTTACCATACTTAATTGAGAAAATTGGCAACATGGCCTGGGTAGAGAAAAACAATAAAAGCGTAGAAAAAAAAATGAAAAATATTATTATGGTAAGAATAAAATTAGAAACGTTCAGTTTATTGTTTTGAAATTATTTTAATGCACATTAAATGTTTAGCGAAAATTGGCAACGTTGCTTAATTAATAAAAAAATGCTTCGCTTTTCTTAAAAACAAACGCTGCACATCAAAAAAATATTTAACTTTTTACCGAATATATTTAAGGCATAAAAATATTTCGAATGAAAATAGGCAACATTGCTTGAACACAGATGAACAAAAAGAGGCAGGCAAGTTATAAGAAAAATGTGTAAGTTATGCAAATTAAGCATTTTTTTATTTTTTTTAACTCACTTAAGGCATGCAAAAAATTAAAGAAAATTGGCAACGTTGTTTACAGCAAAACGCAATAAAGTTATCCAAAAAAAGAGGAGAGCAATGCAACTAATGCATTTTTTAATACCAAAACTCATTTAGGGCATGTAAAATGCATTTAAAAATATTTGACAAATAAATAAAAGTGTATATGTTACAAGAAATTTGACAACGTTGCTTACAAAAAAAAGACATTGAAATTATGAGAAAAGGGCCAACGTTACATGGCATGCATTTTTTAAGAGTACAAATTAACATAAGGTATCTTAGGAACAGTTGAAATTATTTTTCAAATAATTAAAAGCACATATCTAAGTTGGAAGAAAACTGACAACGTTGCGGGCATAAAAAAGTCGTTGAAATTAAAAAATAGTAAAAACGCTGCAAGATATACATTTTTTTATGAGGGCATGGGCATGTAGAATTTAAAAAAAATTTTTTTTTTTTTTTTTTTTTGAAAATAATTAAAGTCGCTTATGTTGAAAGAAAATTAATTAACGTTGAAAAAATATTTAAAAAAAAATTTAAAAGACAAAGGAATTATGAAAAAAGGAATAAAAGACTTTAAATAAATTTAATATTGGTAAGCATATAAGTTGAATTAAACGAAAACTCAATTTAATCATTTCTTTCTTTTAAATATTTGAAATGTTTCAAAGCTATTTCTGTACTTTCTTAATTGGACTTTCAACATTTTACTCTTTAAATATTTTTTAACTTTTTCTTCATTTTTTTTCGCACATTTCAACACTAATTTCACTCACATTTCATTCCAGGAAGCTTTGGTAAAACGTCTTGGCGACGGCGCACACCCCTTCACGCTCACGTTAACCCCACAAGCGCCACCAAGCGTGCATTTAGTGCCCGCAAAACGTTACTATGGCGCGCCAATCGGCACCAGCTATGATGTGCGCTGCTTTATTGGTGAGTAGATGAAAGTAAAAAAGTTAAAAGTTAAAAAAGCATTTATTTTTGCAATATTTAACGTTAATTAAAATGCTTAGAAAGTACATTGAAGGTTAGAAAGAGAGCGAGAGAGTGGGAGAAAGAAGACGTTCATCTATAAGAGATATGAAATTTACGCAATGGCGAAGAGGAAAGAGAAATTAAGAAAATAAATCCAGCGTTAAAAAAGTGCTGAAATAATTAAGAACAGACTTGCTAAAACAGAAACTCTCAGCAAATGTCTGAATATGAGGTTATGAGTAAAAATTAAAAATAAAAACCATTTATGTCAGAATTAAGTTGCCGGTAAAAAGATTTTTATAGCGCCAAGGCCGCCCGCACATACATATACTTCCTTCAGTACAAACAATCGCATTAAAAAACGCGTATAACGGTAAATTAATGAAAGGGTTGCAAAGTGACGACTTTGTATGAGCAAATTGAAACGGGGAAAATGTTACTGAGTACATGAGCAAATGAGCAAATAAAGGCACGGAATTTAATTGAAATTCTAGTCAACATCGACAGATATGCGCACACGTATGTGGCGCTAAACACACATGCATATATTAGCACATAATTTGTTGTAAATATTTTGCCAGCGCACAATTTTATCAAACCGGAAATTGAATATCCTCTTCGCTTCGATATTCCTACGCGGCCACAATAACACGGCTTTTCTATTTACCGCCAACAGGGAGAGAGAGAGAGAGAGAGTGAGAAAAGGAATGAGCGGCAACGGCAGTTCTACTCCGATCTCCTTGCACACCTCTATTATGCACTTATATTTTATTCATAACGGTTCTTCTAGCACATACATACACATATGTACATTTAGTATGCATGAACGATTGACTGTAGTCACGCATGAGGTGTGGCACTCACTCCACTCCCAACACACGCTGTCACCTTGTTGTCAATATCATAATGGAATTTTTGCGCTTCCCTACAATGTGAATTTTATAAGTTTGTTGTTGGTGTATTGATATGTATAGAAAATGCATGAGAGCCCTAGGAGTGTGAGAGCACTTTTGAGTTTCTTCTCGTTATAATAATTGGTTTTGCCCAACAGACTTGCCATATTTGCATTTAAACTGCATTTAGTGGGCGCAACACTTTGATCGGAAGCCTTGGAGTTTATAATTTCCTTGACAAGAACTGTTTGATTGGTTGTCGAGTTGCATGGAGAGCATTGTGAAGATGATGATGATGTGGAAAACTAAGATTAAATATATGTATGTATAATTGGCGCTTTATAATCGCTGCAGCTAGTTTTAGCCGAGTTAATACTAAGCCGCCACCGAACAGTCGATGAAGGGGCTTTGATGCGGCGGTTTTATTTCATATCGGAAATACACGAGGAGGGCTTGACATTTCCTGCCAAGGGACGACTGTAATTATTGTGGAACCATTAATTTTCGCCAATTTCGGATGTTGCTCGGACCCCGACTATAAAACCCTGGTCTGGCGGTCGCAGAAAATGGATACATATTTTGCTTACCGTAAAATATTCGAATTCTACTACTTTTTTCAAGTTACGTCTGTGGTGTATACAGCCTAGGTATGTTATACCAGCTGGCTGCTACGCCTTACACCAACCCGCTGGTCCTGAACGGTGCCAGATGAAGTCTTAACTTCCTTCAAATTGAAGTGGTCGTCGCATTTTGGATTATCTTGAGAGCATTAATATCCAATTTTGATGCTTTGTATAGTTTTATAAATTGCGAGTCTCCTGAATGGCCAAAAAGAGTTGTAGGTAAGGCCGGATGGTTCTAGAGAAGCTGCTCCGGCGTCTCACACTTGCCTTCCATCCTGCACCTGCTACTTGTATCTTTGTACCTAGCGCCCATTCTGCGCGTGAGGGACAGTTGTAGTTTGCCTGTTATAAGCTCAACAACCGCCCTGTTGTGCTTCCGAGAACACGTGAGCATGAACTGTATGTATTGTTTTCTTGCGTTAAAAATGCACATTATTTATTATTTATTAGCGGCCTAGCAAGCCGTTAAGACATTCCATCGTACCCTGATCTATTTTCCAGCACTCTCTGAAAATTCATTCCCTGACATTTTAAGCGTATTCTGAGCGTCCTGTACGGGTTCGGTAGTCTGACAGTTGAGGGTTTTTATGTGATTTTATGTGGTGCCAGCTGGCTCAGCTTCAAAGGTTGTCTGCAAACAGCCAATTCCATCAACCGTACGTGGAGATTTTATAAGCTCTGCATGCTCCTGCGTTATCCGCCCTCTTATAATATAGTTTGAAATCTCCCTTTTCAAATCTGCTTTATTCACTCCCCTTGCTTGTCAAGCTGTTGACCGAAAGTTCTTACAATAAATATACCCAAAGTCACCAATTTAACAGCAAATTCCACTGCGATATTTTCCTGTTTGACTTTCGTTTTTAATCCTCTCCTCTTTATTAAGTTCTCACATCAGTGTGCTAGCCAAATATTACTCACCAGTTCTTGATGTGAGCTTCAGTTGTTAGCTCAAACCTGTCAAACCCAGTGGTCCACACGACAAGGGATCATGTATCCTCCTGTATAATGTAACATATTGATTTGTTGGTCCTCCGCAGTGCAACACATTTATTGTTCGGCTTGACCTAAGTAGGAAGCGATCCAGGACCTAAGATCTTCTGTGACTACTTCCCAATAGCAAGATCGACGTAAACTATCTCATTTACTCGCCTGAGCTGACGACTGGATGTTCGGTAATTGCTTAATATGTGCTCTTATGAGATTCGGTTAATCCTTTTCTCACTGCGGGCTTCGAAACGAGCACTAAAGACTCTGCTTAGCGTCTCATACATTTTGAAACCAATAAATTTCCATTTAAAGGTAAGTTTTAGCTGACAAGGAGACCTTAAAAATTATTATTTACACTTATTTTGTATAAAGAGGGTTTGAGTGAGACTACAGAAAGATGGCTTCTTGATGAAAGAGGTGCGCTTTAATGATGAAGAGGATTTTTCCCAATGAACTAAAAACGACACAGAGTTGTTGTTGGAACTGTACTCGATGCCGGGATTTATGTATATGTATTATTTCCGAGACAGCTTAGTTGTTAACGGACATGTGATTTGGTAAAAATCAGAAGGGACTGAGTTTGACCCAGTCTAGGGTGTGAATATTTCCTCCATTAACTTACTTACGGCCCCAAACGAATAATGAAAGAACGCCTCGAAAGTCCTTGGAGTGCTAAATGTGACTCCTTTACCAGCTTTTGCAAATTTTAGTTACTCTAAGTCGATGAAATCTTCTAAACATAGACGAAACCTACCTCTCTCTTAGAACAGCTCAGCCAGCTTTAATTCTTTCGAGGACATCCACCTTAGTGGAGCTTAACAATCTCGCTAAAAGTTGTGCCCTTCGATTTCGAGGCATTTATGCTGCCCGCCATTAAGTTTGCCCTTCATTGCTTAGCACCTTTCTGAGCGAAACGACTCAATAGGTGAACAAACCCTTTGATTTTGACGATTTCACTTCAAATCAAATCAGTAAAAGCGGATTAGCATTCAGAAATTCTATTACGTGCCGGCGGTTCCCACGCTCTGGCACCTTTAGTGGTAGGCAAATCTTATTACAATGAGGTATCTGTAGAGAGGAAGTGAGAGGGAGAGTGGATGGGCGGGAGAGCAATTGGTTTACCTTTTGATTATTTGTTTCAGCGTCACGAGATACGACACCGCGGCTACTGAGTCTCTCAATGGCTTTTTTCTCCACTCCTGCCACCAGCGCCACTTGCAATGAGACACACTCTTGTATGTACATATGTATATAAACATCTTGGCAACACTGGAATGCCATCAACTGAGGTTCGCTACTCCGAAAGCCATTTTTTCTCTATAATTTTTATCATCAAAAATTTCATTCAGAAGTATTTTCATCGATTTATGCATCACAAACACACAATGGAATAATATTTTCTTCAATAAGACTTTCAAAACACAACAAAAAGAATTACAAATACAACAAAACAATAACAACAAATAAAATAATTTTTCCAAACGGAAATTAAACCCACCGAATTGCGGAAAATTGTTGGCAAACAAACGAAGACAAGAAGACTTAAATCGAATTAAATCAGCTCCAGAAGCTTAACAACTCCCACTTCCGTTATTCCTTTCACTAACTTCTAGCAAATTTCTCTCTCCAACAGCAAAAACAAATATAAACAATTTGAAATAAAATCGTAAGCTGCGATGAGAACTCTATTAAATTTCGATTCAAATATGTTTACCATTTGGGTGTGTGTGTATATATATATGTGTGTGTGTATATTTGTGTGCATATATATAAATATATGTGTTTGTAAATACTCGAAAATGATACTTTTTGATTAGATTAAATGGAAACAATGCTGGCAGATTTATGTGGAGGCATATATACATACGAGTATATGAGAGTCTAATCGACTTGCGCTCTTGCTCTCTGAGAACAATCATCAACAGCTCGCTATACGGGAGCTGTGGGACGGCATTTCACGCTATCTATGGACGAGTTATTCAAATACGGCACTGAAAAGCTGCTGAAGTGCATGCATCAGATTATACTGAGCCACCTCCGATGAGGCGAATGAAGAAACAGAGGCCACGTTGGGTGCGTCATGTCCTCCAACTTTGAAAGTTTGCGTTGCGGTACACACTTTTGGAGTCAGAGCAAAAGGAAACCCTCCACTCTATTGGGAGAATCATATGGCGAGTGACCTGTGTTCACCTGGTATTTCCAAATGATGCCAAACAGAAAAGAAAGGATGAAGAAAGGGGTGAAAAAGGGATGAAAAAGAAGAATATATCATCGAAATCATCCAATGGCTGTTCCAGGAATAGAACTGTTTCCACGAGGACTCGAACCAGAAGGATATGGTTGTTAGATGAGTATGCTTGAGTAGTTCTGCTAAGATCTTGCTAGTTTCATGCGGGGTCTCAAATGCATTCAGCACATATGCGAATTATGTGAGGCTTGAGTCTGAATGGGCAGACGTTTAATCCACTACCTTATACAGACCTTGAGTGTGCTTATGTTCTGGAGATCTCGCAAGGCAGCTCGAGCTCCTCGTCTGATCTAGGTGATAGTCGTATTCCGAGCACGCCATTCACGGTAAAAGAGTTACATTAAAGTGCTGATCGATTCTCTGTAAATAACAACTACATAGGGCCTGCTGATAGCTCGTACTGCCCGTCTAGCTCAAGTAGATCCTTCCTGTTGTTCTTGATGCACACCAACTGATGGTTAGGGTCTCAGTAGACCGTAAGGACCGTGCGTAAGGATCGACCTGACGTTAGCAAATATTGCATAACAGCAAATTATGCAGTTTCACTGAGAGCAGTGATGTTTCACTGTACCCACGAATAAATGCACAGGTGAGCTCAGCTGGTTTACTGTTGCGGTTGTCAGTTTTTCGACGCTTTTATCGTTTAAGTCAACAGTATACGTCAGCCTCAGCAAATACTTAGCAAAGAGCAGTGGCATACTCGCTTCGTATACAGAGTTGGTAGACATATAATAGTTCCTCCTTACGCTAGCTCGTTCCATATACCAATATTCAGATAACCATCTAGAGCCTCTTGGACGTACTTCTACATTTTTTGATGCTTTCGATGTAGTACAGCGGCATTGCAGAAACATAGTGCTAGCTTTGTTACGAGTACAATAATTGAAGATCTTGGGAGATATAGCGATGGCCTGGTAGTAACATTTTACAGCAGCTGAGAGCATCGGCTAGTGAAGATCCTCTGCTTGGGAGATATAGTGATGGCCTGGTAGTAAAATTTTACATCAAGTGAGAGCTTTGGTTAGTGGAACCCACAACTTTGGTATGTGCCATATTTCGAGGCCTTGCCTGAAGTTGAAATGGAGAGTTCTAGTAGAAAGTTTGGATGAAGTTTTTCATGCTTTTGGTGGTAAACGCTGGTAGAGTTTCCATTATGAAAAGAACTGCGGACAACTGAATGGTCATATCGAGCTCCAGCGGTTACCGAAAGGCGATTCCTTTGAATAGAATGTAACTAACCATCGTATGGTATTTGGTTTGGAACTCCAACTTTATCCATTCTACAAACAGACAGTCTTTGCTGTCACACATTTATAGGCAACTTGAAATCCCCCAAAGCCGTCAAAAGAACTAAGACACTAAATACTCTCCTCATCAGAGAAATGTAGCTGCGTGTGCAGTTTTCTACCAAAAAACCACAACAGAACACTCCATAAACCCAGGCACATATCTACACAAATTCCAAGCAATGAACAGCACAGCCACAATTACGATATGTGCAAAGACTCTACCAGCCGGGGCTTCGTTCAAAGGACACGCTGCCAATTTAGTGAAAAAGGTTGACAAAAATGTAGAGCAAAGGCAGGCGGAAACAATATTGCAAAATGCGACGTGTGGCAGGGAACACCATTGAAAGCAAACAAGCCATCACCTCAGGTGACCAGCGCTTTTATGCATATGTCCGTATGCCTCTGCAGACAATCGACGCCGTCCTTTAGGGCTCCGCTGAAATATAGGGACTCCCACTCATTGGAATGCACACTTTTATTGAGCTTTCGCTCCCGTGTGTTGAGTGCGAAAGGTGACAACAAAAAGGTGCAGAAAAATGCCAACAAGTGCATGACCGTAAGCCGCTTAAAAATCCATTAAATGCTAAAAGCCATTTGAATAGCTCGTTAACTGCACGCAACGTAGCAAATTTTGAATGTCAATCCGTTGCTCCTACGTACATACTCCCACTCACGCGCTCTCAGTGTGGCTCTCTCTCTCTTTTTTAATTTGTAACACTTTAAAAGGTTTTACATTTATCGATTAAAAATATATTCAATATGCACTCACACTCCTTTATCTCTCTCTCTTTCTCTCTCTTTCTCTCTCTCTCTCTCTCTCTCTCTCTCTCTCTCTCTTTCTCTCTCTCTACCCCCAACAGCTGATAAGACAGATGAGAAATTCCACAGACGCGCCACAGTACAGATGGGCGTACGCGTCATCTATCGCACCGATGTGTATCATCAATCGATTGGACCGGAGAATTTCACAGCGCTCATCAATAACCAAGGCGCTTCACCGCCACTAACTGCAGCGCTAACCTCACCACCATCGTCGAGTGGCGCTCAAAACGATAATTCAACATCGGCTGCATCGGCGCAGCTACTGGGCAGCAGCATTAGCGCTGATAGTAATGCTAGTTTTGATGGTCCGTGTTGTAGCGGTGCGGGTGCCACCGCCGCTCTACCCAGTAGTGGTGAACGCTCACCAGCGGCAGCGGTACAAAGTCATGTTAAGCCACGTAAATCGGAGCGCGGTGACTCGTTTCCTAAGCTTCGTCTGTCGCCGAAGACTTTCCGTTTTAGTGGTCGCTTTGGGCGTAGCAAAAGTGAGATTGAGAAGTGTCCCAGTGATCCATTTAACAACTATAGTAAATCATTTCAGGAGGTGAGTATAAACTGAGTAGAAAGACTGTTAAAAGACCGTAAGAAAGTGACAAGACAAGATATGAGAGGCACAAAGTATCAAGATATCCTCCGTCCATTTTGATTCTCTAACGAGGCGCATTAGATCCATGACAGCTCAGCATATTTAATCTGTGCCTCACAAGTGAGGTATAAATGTACATAGCGCCACCAGGTGAAGGGAAAGCAGCGAAATGGGGGAGAGTGGTGGAAAAGCATCACTTACGTAGATCAGGGAACGAGTTGCACCTCCCTACCCTTAATGACGCCAAAGCCTCTTAGTATTAGAGATACTAGAATTTATGCACGGTACGGCCTGTAAGTCCTTAGAGGCGACGCATCTGCTTCAGTGTAATTTTTATAACGGAACGAGAAACCGACACACTACGTCGCAGCTGACAAGAAGTGTTAGAGCGGCAAGTCCGAGTCCTGGGCTGGCTACTTTGGTAGCGAATATCGATTGTGCTAGATATGCACGAAGGCAAGCGTCCATCATCGTTTACTTGGTAAACTCGTTTGTTTAACCAACTCACCTCGTTGAAGAATGTGCTGCGGCGCGTTACGAGATGAGTGAACGAAATATTGGTCAGGCCTGTCTGACTGAACAAGGGAAGCCCTCAAACTTTGTATATTTGATCTTAGGGAGGTAGGAGGGTTGCTCGCGATACATAATATTGACCCCAGTGGCATCTGCTGCACTACTTTGAAGCGACTCCCTCCATTTCCCACCTTTTGTATTCCCAACTGCGGTAAAGCGCCTTATTGGGAAGAGCCAGAGATTCGATGACCCATTATTGGTGTCGAAAACTTGTATACATATACTTTTCTTTGAACTATTCAATAAGATATTTATTCTTGTTTTGCCATATTTGGATCGCAACAGCTACGCTATCTGGCAGTTGGTTGTGGGCTATATTTCCTCTTGGTTGTTCGTTCAAATTACAATTTTAATGCTAAACTGATAGTTTCTGACGAAGCTGATTCTATCTTCGCGTAAAGGTCGCCAAAAATGCTACTCGGGCTTCACCAATATGATAGATTTTTCAATACTGAGCTGGCCCCGAACAGGCTTCAGAGTCGAGTTGTACTGCCATCGAGCTTAACATTCGCCTACAAACGTTTACGAAGTCATTGTTTATTATTTTGTATCGTCTTCAAGGTGGAAAGCTTCTGAGATGAATTTTCTAGAAGACAACGATGTCTCACTTATGCCTATCATAGCCTCAGCGGGCTTGACTTTGGCCTGAAGTTCATGCACTATGAACACCTTCGATTGAAAACTCCATTTCTTATATTTTTACGAATTGGAATTTTCCGAAAAATTTGCATTCTTCAGTGCCATTCTTTAGTTTCTGTGGAGGCTTTTTTAAGTCCACAACACTGCGATAATCAAATTAAACGCTCCACATTATTTTGACATTTTCACTATACAGAAGAAGAGATGGTCGCACGAAGGTGTGCCCGATGATAGGAACCAACGAGTATGTGTGCTCAGTCCGATCCCCAAAAAGGGAGATCTCATACACTACGTTATTTACCGTGGGATAAGCCCCCTCACCATCGCATAAAAGGCGCTCCACCATCAACAATCTGATTGGACCACATCAGTTTGGCTTATAACTTGGTAAATCAACCATCGGTGCTTTCAATTCAATAACCAAATAAAAAGTAAAGTTCTCTCTTAACGACCTAAAACCAAACTCTACAAGTCACTCATTATTCCCGTCCTTCTGTATGGCGCAGCCTGGACGATGTCGATAATCACTGAGTCGACCTTAAGAGCCTTCGAATGAAAAGTTTTGCCACCGATTTGTGGTCTCCTGCACATCAGCTACGTCAATGAAGTAAAAGAGAAGTGATTGAAATTCTATAAGATATCAACTGATTTCATGGTCTTATCCTTTGGACCAGAAAAACTGAGTTCATTGATTTCCTTAGACAAAAACAAAAAGAAAAATTCAAAAAAAAATCCTTCAGCATTAAAAGAACCAGTAAAATGTCTGTCTTACATACATATATATTTACCAGCGAGCATATTTTATTCACCTCTCATTCCTCCCATTTAAATTATTTAATCATAAAATTTGTACTCCGCCGAAGCGAAATAATTGCAAATGAGCTCGTAAAATTTAAATTGGCAATAAAAATTATGAAGAGCACAAAATTAACTGATGAAGAAGCCAAATTTTATACTGAGTATTTTTTATGAAGTTCTTTGCTGAAGGAGTTGGCAAGAAATCGGGAGAAATGGCACTAAAGTAAAGAAATAAGCAAAGGCAGCGGTGGAAGAATTAGACAACTTGTGCTCGTGTGGTCTCCACCAACTGGCGACACATGCCACGACCGATATGAGTGCGACGTTAGAGGTATTCTGCTCTCTCTGTACGGCCTTACTTAAGGACACATCTCAGGTGTCGAAGAGCTTTGCTGTTCAAAGTGCTTTAGGAAGTTCTTAAGCGAAATATCAAATCGCTCGTGAATTTCCTCCGAAAATGTTGATATGACGACTACTACATTTCGAACTAGAACCCTCTTGCGACACAGCAAAGAACACCCTACACATTAGCAACCAGTTAACTACAATGAGTAACTTCTAACCCAGCTCTACTGGGCGTAAGTTAATTTAATTGATTAATGGTATTCTTAGAACCGGATAGTCCAGAAATAAGCTACATCCGGCATCTCGCGCTGGAATAGTATCGCTTTTTGTACCAAAACCTTCACAAATTTTGCCATATATGTTTATGCTCAAAAATATGGCTTAACTCAATAAGACTGCTTAGATATACGTGAGTTCTCATATGAACCTTTCATCGTCTATCTTCCTTTTTTGGTTTGTCTCTTGGTTGCTTGAAAGCTGAAGTTAAGAAACTGACTTCGAGCGACCACACCTAAACCATTGAGTAAGCTCATCGTGCTTCCACCGTATGCCGTATATGTCTACAGCGCGCAGTTCCCTCGATTTTATGCACGGTTTGAGTCTTTTCCTCCAATGAAACTTATCTTTGAATAACATGAGCTGAGAGCCACGTGAAAGATATGGCGTTTCAAACGCCTGAAGGAAGAGTACTCACCGAGTGGTGTTGCAGTATCTCGTGTATTTTTGTACTTGCTCTGCAACATGTCGATGGTTCCAGCTTTTCGAACTTGTAAGGTCAATACTTCAAAAGGGGAAGCCGTTTCATCAAGACATATATAAGTGTGAGAAGTTTCAAGCGGTGGCTACGATAATGGACAAGAAGAAGAAGAAGAAGTTGTCTTTCACCAAATAACAATTGTTTTCACAACATTTGAGAGCGCTGAAAGGTCTCGATATCATATCTGCTAAGATTCTCTCAGTTAGCATCTGCAGAGTTCCCATCTGCTCTAAAAATGTTTGTAGTTTGATCTCTCTTTGGTATATGATCTCTCTTTGGTAGAGAGTTTCTCTCCTATCATTATTATTAACTCATGCTCCAAGTCAGCGGCTACATTCGGAACCCCACTAGTAGTAATTTAAGGCAGAAAGTATCTTACTTATATGCTGCTTAGGGATCTCACTTCAGTTGACCTTTGAAAATCCATATACTCCGATAAGTAGTAAGCTTTTGACAAAACTGGACTGATGTTTCTCAGTGAGAACTTAGCTTCACGAAAAGCTACTACGAGAAGTTAAACAAAAAGGGTTTAAACAAATTGTCCGTCTCTTTTAGAACATGATCTTTGTTATGCTCATGAGACAGCTGTACATTCCTAAGACATAGCTCATCTGCTCATCTGATATAGTAAATCTGCTGACCTCTACACACAACGCTATCAGAAGGGCGTAAGTACATCAGACCATGCTGTCTTAAGGTAGAAGAAGCCTGGATCACAGAAGCAGCCCGTAGATTTTCTTGATTATCAATTTCAGCTCTGGGCTGCATGAAGAGCTCATGGCATATGGGCTAGTGTTCGATGTTTTCGTGAGCTTGGTTTTTTCTACAACTAGAAATGAATCGCTTTCAAAAAAACCAGACTTTCCGACCAACAGAGTACTGACTAGAAGATTTTGGGTTTTTGTTTTTTGTAATTTTGGAAAGTGTCTGACATTAGCTTATAACTCTTCCACGAGTCGAAAAGTTGCTTTCTTTCCCAAATCAGTACAAGAGGACCAGCTTTTGGTAGTAGCTACTATATGGGGGTTTAAGTCGTTAGAAGACGAGAAAATGCTCGGTAGATGTTGAGACAGTGGGACTAGTAGGAATGGATATCACTAGAGTTGGTGTCATGGACGTCGGAAGGCTATTAGAAACACACAAATATTAATGCAAATCTTCTTGGAGTTAGTTTCTGGGCTCGATGGAAGTTGGTTCCATAAAAGTACTTGATTTCTTATCTCTCTCTGCTGCTTGGTTTCCTCACAACCGGCAGTTGGTACGCCAAAAATGTTCGGACTTTTTGGACACAGTCATACATAGCATCGTATGTGATGTGGCCCACTGTTTTCTCAGTCGGCTTGTGAGCCGCAATTTGTGTTTTTGAGTCACTTTAAGTGTAAAAATAAAGAATCAAACATTCTAGGTTTGTTATTTGCGTCCAAAATTAAAAGATCAGCCAAGAAATATCTAACAAACTCAAGCCAACTCAGCATTTGCTGGCGAGACGTGTAAACTACTGCCAATTTGGAAGAATAAAGAGAAGAGACACACACTAAGCCAACTTTTATGTATTTATCTGGTGTCAGCAAATAAACATTATGTTTTTACTGAGAAAACGTGAGACCCCCTGGGACTGCGGACCGTAGGAGTGGGGCGAGAAAAGTTGAAAACCAACAACTAATAAATAAACAAATGCGCGACAAGCGAAACACATACTAATATGTACTAAAAATGTAATAAAATTTTCGTTCTTTTCTTTTCCTCTTCCGCCAATCTACGCTCACATGGCATCAACAATCCCACAATTGCATCACAACGACACCAACATCACAATGGAAACCCCTCTAATACTGAATCAACGGGCATTATGTGCTTTGCACGCCTCGATTGGTCTCCAACTCTCACAACCATACAACTCACAAACTGCCTCCTCGACCGACATCAACATCTTGCGCCAACAGTACGATTGCACTGCTATTGCCGGTGGCATTGGTGCTGTCGGCATTAGTGGTATTAGCGGTGGAGGTGGTGGCAGTGGCATTGCAATAGCTCCGCATGCCGCTTCGCCCGGCGGTGTTGGTTGTGTGGTTGGCGGTTCTACGGCGCCCACAATGGGCGGACCACAAGGTGCGGTGGACAAGCCATTCCTCTTGCAAGACGGACGTGTCGGCTTGCGCGCGAGCCTCGATAAAGCTTGGTATACGCATGGCGAGGATGTCTGTGTGACGGTGAACATCAAGAATGATAGCCGCAAGACGGTGCGGAAAATGCGGGTAAGTAGCTACTATTCGGTGTGTATGGTATTTAGAGAAAGTATGTAAAGATTGTGGCCCAACTGAGTAGTGTATGGCTCTCTTGTGGCGAGTATGCCGCAGTGTGGGCCTCAGTTTGTGTTAAAATGTAAAAGGAATTCGAAAGCAAATATTTAGCTAATTTTTGCCATCAGCATTTCGTGCTGCTGCTCTGCTCTGTGACTCTACAATGTCAAAGTTTGTGTGGACTTTGGGGAAGGTGTGTGTGGGATTGGTTGGTAAGCCAATCAAGAAAGTGCTTATGGCGACAACTTTTTGTTGGAATTTCAGCATTTACATATGTTAACGAGTGTTCGAGGTGGAAGGATACATTTTATAAAGGGCTGTGCTGATTAAACCCTTTACTAACTTCAACACCCGAACTTGAGTCGAGGTGCTTCAAAACTAATGAAAAATGTCTATAAAAACTCACTTTTAACTCTACTTTGAGTTTGATTTCGGCTTGGGCTCTCGAAGGAATATTAATCTGACTTCCGGAGACGACCTCGGTACTTAAAAACGATCTCCCTTTACAAAAAAGTCCAATGTACTAAGTGAGAGAATATCTGAAACCGACTGTACTGGTGTGTGCGGGTCCAAAGTATGTCAGGTCGAAGTCGAAAAGTGCCCAAATTCAATGTAAGATGTCAGCTTGACTGCCACGCAAAAGCTTTGCTGCTGTTCGCAATAAATATATGGAGACTCAGTTCCTGGACTAGTTTGAAGAATCCAGTTCTGAGTAGAGCCTGGACTATAGCGAACATTTAAATAATAAAATCTGACTGATGCGAGATCCATTTAAAAATCTAACTTTGGACTTCTGTAATGACTTAAATAGTCATGCTGTTCGACGAAGGCCGACCAGGTCTTAATTAAAGATCCAGTGTTTAGGAAACTAAATTTAGAGAAAGCAGGCTCACAATACCTTCCTAACTTGGTTGGGCTGAATGAGATAAGATGCTGCAGTAGAGCGCAGCATCTATCGGAGTCACTCCAATCCCTTAGCGATTATTAATTTATTTATGATGAAAGAAGGTCTTGTTTCTCCAATACAATTTTTTTCAGCTTATGCAAAGACCTCCTTGACAGACCAAGGTGAGTACGAGAATATGAACGCCTTATAGTCCCTGACAGCTAGCGTCCACTAAGAGAAGTCAAAGTACTTCTAAACGATTTAATTCCATCCCATTTTCTGGTTTGCTGATGAGGAGTGCAAATTCCCTCGACGGACCGTGGGAGAGCAGTTTCGTAGAATATGGAAACCCTATAGCTCCTGACAGTTAGCTATAACAAAGAGAATTCCGAAATTCCTACTTGATTGATGCGGCAGGAAACGAAGAAGTTTCTTCCAGAATCCGTCAGCGTAACTGGAGAATCTATCTCGGTAGAGAGCCGGTAGTGAGCACCTCCGTAACAAATGATAACCTCCATGGCCTTTGACTGATGGTCTCAAAAAGTACCAGGATTTCTTGAATACTAAATTGGGATTTGTTATCCCCGTTTAATTTGCAGCGTTTGTTTTGGAGACTCCGACAGTAAAACGGGCAATCTATCTTCGTAGAGGACTGAAACATCGTAGTCTTCCCCGCAGCAGATTTCGATGTAAAAAGATTCACGTTGACTGAATGGCTTACCTGTTTCGATGTAGAACTCGGCCCGTCAGCTCATAATAAACTTTGCACTCGGTCGATCGTCCTCTTTACTTGCTTCTCCGCAGCCGATTTCCGCGCTTATCTCCTTACTGGTAGAGCTTCTTTCCCGAAAGCATTTACTACTCGGATTAAGATATTTTCTAGCACTTTTCTCGGTCTCTTCTGATCTGCGTTGGAAATGCAAGCGACCCAAGGAAAAAAGTAACTGGTCAACACCTGTACTGTATGCTCTCTTGAGCTAGGAATGTCAATAATATAAGCTGAGGCCTAAAGCAGAATTCTCAACGGAAGCTAGAGAGAACATAAAAGGTAATCGGAATTCTTATCAAATGACTGCGATACTTATATTAGTAGACTTCAGAGGAGCTTCCTTCCAGGAAAACTTGGTCTTATGACAGCCTCTTTGTGGATTCTTGAATTCATTATCATCTTTACTTTAATTAAATTTCTCTTCCACTTTTCACTTAACCCACAACAACTGCCTTTCTCACTACACTCAGTTCGCGCGGCACATTTGTCATTTTAGCACAGAATAGAATAGAGCTTAAGCGGTTTCTTCTTTACTCATTTGACATATTTCTTATTTGCTGTGGTTGCTGTTGTTGTTGTTGTTGTTGCATCCACATAAAAGTTCACTCAGTCATCATAGTCTTTCATTGAAGCTCTTTTACAGCTTAACTTTTTAAGTGGACGCTCTTGGCTGTGGATGATAATCGCATTAGTAGATGGCGAGCGATGGAAATTTCTTTGGTTGAAGAAACTTTTGATAGAATACTTATGCATATATATACATGTGTATGTATGTATCTAGCGGAAGGGGAAGGTAAAGGATTACAAATAACAACGAGTGTAAGCAGTTTCTTGACAAAAAAGTAATAATAATTCATTTCGAGAAAAGCTTGGGAAGCTCATAAAGCTCATTTTCGGTAACCATTCGAATATCACACTGAGGACGGAGTCACCTATAGTTGAGCTCGTTTTAGTATCAAGGACTCTTTAATTTACCGACTTCCACTTGTTGGTAATGAACTCATTTAGTCAAAAACTCTACTCTGAGACACTATATAAGCTACAGGTGCTAATTTATAATTATTTTCCTCCTCTGAAATGTATGAGGTGACTATGAGGTCTAGCAAAACGGTCTCTGGGGTCTCTAAGCTGTCATCTTCCAAATATTAAGCCATCCTCGAAAATATGAAGAATGTCTTTAAAAAAAACAATATCAATATTTCATTTGGAAAAAAGCTTTGGAAGATTAGAAAGCTCTAGCCCGCTAGTTCCCACTCAGCTTCCCATCCTAGAATGTCAAGTTCAACTATAACTCGATGAAAAGCGGTGTGTTGTGGAATCCACTCCCTACCGAACAGAACTCTTTGCAATCATGGAATCCGCTGAGCAACAGGATCAGACATCCAAAATTGAAAGCGAAGAGAGAAGGTCATCATATATTCCTAGATCAGTTCCCAAATGTAAACAGCCACTGTCTCTGTTTGATTAACCTTCATGGGTATGGACTATCACTCTAGTTATATTTGTCGCAGCTTCGGCGACGAATAAGCGGAAGAATCTATAGAGCACCACCACTGTCAAAGTTCAGCCTTAACGTCTGCATCAACTCAACTCCCGATCTTGAAGTATCGATCTAAGAGAACGAGCCACTAAAACGAGGATCTTTTAACTAAAATGAAGCTCACCTTGCCGTCATTTAAGAGGACTTTTTTTACAGACACCAAAGATGTTACACTGAAGGAAGTTTGGACCTGTCATGGTCTACACTTAAGCAATTACATTAGCGGTTTGCTCATTGCATCGGAGTTCAGAATCAATGGCTGTACCTTTCTTTCTTGCGTACGCTGGACTCCGACTTTGGGTTCGAGACGATAAAAATAGATTCAATAAGTTTTTAAATTATGGTCCTCACAAAAATACACAGTTCCATTGCGTGTTGTGTCGGAGCTTGTATCAGCCTTACTTAATACCCGCAGGATATGAATGAGAACGAGGTTGTGATCGGGCATTAATTTTGCCTTAGTTGAAGGCCTCTTTTGGGCCTCAAATAGTGAGCTCGACATAGTATATGGCAAGCGAAACATTACGCTTTCCTCGTATCGCCTTCCGCTCCCTTAAATCAGAGTCTAGGGAGGTTGCAGTTAGCTGACTTAGTACTTGGCGCTGAAAGCTCAATTAATTTTTCCAGTAGAGATTATTCTTACTCCCCATCTGAACGCGCACTTCATGTTCTTGTAAGGCAAATCCGAAGTCTCTGAACATCTCATTATGATGCATTTAAAGTTTAGAGCTGTTGATGTCACCCTGTGTGAATTCACCCATCCCCCGCCCCCTGTGCTTAATTTACAGCAAACGTTGAGCCACAGCTTAACTCGCTAAGCTTTGATAATCGCAGAGTTTTTGTGCTGAAGTCGCTTACATTCTTAGTAGCAGTGAACTCTACATTTCTTCTGCCAGTTTTTATTGCTCTCCTCCTGTCATTCATTTTCTATTTCCTGCTAACGACCACTTGAGGTTGTCGGTCTGGAAAACGCCAATTCTTACTACTAATTCTCTCTTTCTATCATTTCGACCATTTTTTTTCTTGCCGTTTTAATGAAACTTTCAACATAGCGGTCACTTGAAGATACTTTCGCTTAGTCTTTTGTGTCTCTCTCTCTTATTTTTGTCTCTAACAATAAACCGTTGAGCTTGAGCTGGCTACCGAAGTGTGCAAAAGCAAAACGCGCGCGTCTGAGACAAAGAATTTTCTTGTAATTACAATTGTTGAATGTGCAGCCGGAGGCTAGAAGAAAAAGTTGGTGAGAGAAGCAAAAGAAAGGAGCACTAAACGCCAGTTGATAGTTTGGGAAAACAGTTTCCTTTTTTTCCTCATAAATCATTATGAGCATCGAGACAAGACAATAAATAATAATAATGTCACAGAGTTCATTGGTTGGTTAGGCTGTGAGCGAGCTTTTGATTTGCTCAAGTGGCCACTTGTTCTCCGTGGAGGGTTGACACCAAATATTGAAATAGTTTGATGGTTTTGAGAATGAGCACACAGAAAGGTCGATTTGAGTTAGCTAAAATCTGTGCATATGGACTGGTAGCGTAGGGTTCTTGTTTTGCAAAGTCCTCTTCCGTAGTTATAAAGTAACTTTTACTTAGTGGGAGAGTGGAAACTGGTTCCACAAATTCAGGAAAAAATATTTAAAGCGACATTTCTTTGTACGAGGCATCGATTGAAATCAACTCTCTTCGTATGTTATCATCACTCACCGAAACCCATTTCTGAAGAAACTATGACGATCAGAGATAGAGCGAGCCAAATGACGGATC